TATATTTTATTTATTATGTGGGGGCCTTGAACAAACTTTAGATGTGTTTTATATGTGCTACATAGAGAAACTTGACTTGTACAACATCTTGGTTTATTATCCATGTATTTTATAATTAATTTTTAACAGTTCAACAAGCAAAACAAACACGTACAACGATGTTCCCATTCCTTCCCATCTTTTGGTTCCAGATCTCTTAGAAAAAAAACAAATAAAGCTACATCTTTAGGGCATGCACAGAATTATACATATTTAACAGTGGGTCAAAAGGCTGTAAACATTCAACATAACATAACCATTAATAGTTGCCATGGGGTGTTGAATTTGACAACACAACCTCTGATGGTGATCTTAACCTTTTCTAGATGAATGTGACTCATTATGTTTCTGATCCTAATTCTAATGATGTCTCCTTCACATTAATATCTCTTAAACATTTACTTTAGTATAGATCAGACCAGATATGCTATATTTTGCCTAAAACGTGACTATTTGCATTGATGTTAACCACCAAAAATATTGTATATGTCAGTCCTAGGTCCAGCATCACACAGGGGTTATTCACTGGGTTATAAATGATTCGCTGTAAATTGTTCTGTGAAACGTACTTGTTGGTTAAAATGCAAGAATGTAAATATGAAAAGCTCTTTTTTTCCACTACTTGTTGCAGGATATGGGGAGATCTACCCCATCACGCTGCCTGGGAAGGTGGCGTGCGTCCTATACGCCATGGTGGGAATCCCCCTCATGCTCCTGGTAATCCTGGACGTGGGGGACTTCCTCGCCTTGGTGATGTCCAGGGCCTACGTGCACATCCACTCGCTCTTCAAAGCGCTCCGCTCTCGCAGCTGGTCGCCGTGGAAACGCGGGGGCAAGGCGGCGGACTCGGGCCGCTTCGTGCTCAGTCAGGACGTGGTGATCCGCGAGCCCCTGGACCTCCGGCAGGTCCTGCGCAGCCAGGCCGACGTGCGGCACAAGTCCGTCCACCTGGAGAACAACCGGGAGATCTTCGAGAAGATCCTGGCCAGGGAGAACCTGAAACGCAAGGGTCCGCTTCTCAAAAGCCTGTCCTGCCCTGAACTGGACCAACTGCTACCAGCCCCTAAAGGATACGCCATATGGGACTTCTCCGGGTTAGGGGATGGCATGGAAACCCTAGATTTCCCCTTTATCCTGATCCTACTGATTGTGTTTGCATACATCTGCCTCGGAGGTTTGATTCTGCCGTTGTGGGAAACCGAATTTGAAGACTTTGATCCGTACTATTTCTGTTTTATAACTCTCACCACCATTGGTTTTGGCGACATCGTACCCAGACACCCGAACTACTTCATGCTCACCTCGCTTTTCATCATCGTGGGCATGGCTATCATGTCCATGGCCTTTAAGTTGAGCCAAACGCGAATCGTGGGCTGTTACCGCAAGTGCATAAAGTTTATTAGCAGAGGAAACGCAGAGACTTCCAAAGATGAGGCCGACGTCTAAGTTATTACAGGATTCTCAGTATTATTCATAGCACTTGTACGAGCATGTCTTGCTGAATTGGGGCTGAGGGTAACCTGCCTGTGAGAAACCAGCTGTGTCTGACCAGTCCTTCTTGTATTCACATTCAGATAAGAATAATAATATCCTCATTAAAAGACATGTCAGCCGTCTGTCTGTCATTTTCTGCACCACACAGACTGAGGAGTCCAAATATTTAACAATATTTTGCAAGCCTAAGGTATCACTGAGTTGGTTGAGCTAAAATAAATTAAAAAAACAGTGAGGTTTTGTATTTATCCATGGAACAGAAGTTGTGGCCATTGGACTTTAACTCTATGACAGATATTGGGGTAAGTGAACATAAAGACCATCATATGATAGTTACACAGTTTTATACTACTAAATCCTGTCACAATGCTCCAGTAGAACTTCAACAATTCTATTAACTATCAATGAATACAACCAGCAGTGGAGGACTAAGATGTGTTTACCTGATAGCAGCTTGTCATTAAAGGTTGCCAACAGCAGTTTCTTCATTTTTGATCAACTGAAAGAGCTCGTTCTCTGTCTTTCATCCCGTAAGGGTCCCTTTTGTCGAAGCCAAATCTGGTTGGTGTGCGTGTTCTCCACCTGAGCACAAGATGGCGCCGCTGTCCAACGGTGGGGGAAAAGGCCTTTTCCCATCCCTTCATGGATTCCATCAGTCAGCCTCACAGATGTATATTAGTAATATTAGTAATATTAGTAAAATGACCCGTTCCTCACCAGTCTCCAGGGATTTCTATCTGTCCTATTTCACTCTACAACGTGTGGAAACATCTAGAAGTTATGATCGGCACAGTGTGTTGGTCGTGTGTCGTGTTTAGTACTGATTCGGTTCTCTGTCTCTGAGTGAGTGTGTTGTTAGGGCTGTTTCTAGGCTATTTCTGCTGGACGCCCAGCAGATGTCACCCTTTGGGCGTCTTTACAACCTGAAACTGAGAGAACCTGTGCTATGGCCTGGTTCTGAATGAATGAATGAATCTTTATTGTCATTGTCACAAGAAACGACGAAATGTAAAAAAGTGCCATCAATCAGTGCATGTGCCCACAATTTACTGATAAAAAACAATTAATGAATAAAAATAGCACATTCTCACACACATCATCCATGATGATTAATGGTTATTTTTGGTTGCATGTCGGGTAAAAGGCTGTCCAGATGTTGAGTGATGGGTGAAACCTGATGTGGTCCACAGGGCTTCCTGGTCCTGGTCCTGGTCCTGGATGGCTGCCTTTTAAATGACGTGACCCTAGAACACATAGGACCTGTGTGTCTGTCTGAAGAAACTCTTGAAGACCCCCCTCTTCAAAGAGCATCTCCTATCCTAACCCTAACCCGTACCACTACCCCCCCACAGCTCCTATCCTAACCCTAACCCGTACCTCTACCCCCCACAGCTCCTATCCTAACCCTAACCCGTACCTCTACCCCCCCACAGCTCCTATCCTAACCCTAACCCGTACCTCTACCCCCCCACAGCTCCTATCCTAACCCTAACCCGTACCTCTACCCCCCACAGCTCCTTCTGTAGTCCCTCTACCTCTATCTCTATCTCACCACTGACTCTGATCAGGGTTTCTCCTCTGGATAGCTTATTGTCATAGTGATGAGAAATGGAATATTGGGTCTACTCTGTAAGTCGCTTTGGATAAAAGCGTCTGCCAAATGCCTAAACATAAACATAAACATATTACCTGTGTTATTATTATTCCTTCTACTTAGGCAACATCTGGGAGTTGTAACATTTATGAATCAGCTTTTTCCAGGTTGAATGTACTCTTTTCTTGGCAGGAAACCTCTAAAAAACACGGAGGTGAAAGGACGGGCTAATTCTGTATGATTCCTCTTGACGATAGCTCCTATAAGTGGTAGAAAATATGACAAAATGGTGGTGTACTCCCTCACAAATGCAGAATATGTAGCAGTTGTGATGCTTCATTGACTGGAAGTGTAATAAAACGAGGCAATTACGTCCTTCTGTGCTGGTTCTGTTCTGGACCGGTACCGGTACCGGTTCCACATCAGCTCCAACAAGTGTTAGAGTCATGACAAATTAACTTAATACAAAACTGTAACTTTGATTGAACTTTGGAGATTTGGGGGCTGAAGCTTTCCACTGGAGTCTAAATGGAGGCGTTTTTTGGTTATTTTGTGGTTTCATGATGATGTCAAATGATCTCCAAAAGGCTCTGTGGGGCTGGTGATGGGGCGAACCCCTCCTGACCGTGCGTGTGCGTGTGTGTGTGTGTGGGGGGGGGGGGGGGGG